GCTCCTGCACACAGGACGCGGTAATGCTTGCCGCGCGGCGGAAGTCCGCGCGACAGCCAATCAATATGTTGTTTTTCCGTAAGAGCTAGAAGGTTATTACGAAAAGTAATATATTAATTGGCTGTCGCGCGAACTTCCATCGCGCGGCAAGCATTACCGCGTCCTGTGTGCAGGAGCCATTAGAATTTTATTGATTACTGTTTCCATGCGGCAAGTTATTCTGCGTCTGTGTGCTGAAGCGTTTGCGCAGTAGGATGTTCATTTATGGCTCCTGCACACAGGACGCAGTAATACTTGCCACGCGACGGAAGTTCGCGCGACAGCCAATCAATATGCTGCTTTCCGTAATAACCTTCTAGCTCTTACGGAAAAGCAACATATTGATTGACTGTCACGCGGACTTCCGCCGCGCGGCAAGCATTACCGCATCCTGTGTGCAGAAGCCATTAGAAACTTAGGTAATGTTTGCGAGTTTTCCAACAATGTAAAATCAATCCTATTGATGTGATAATCGTGAAAATACATCGGCTACAAAGAAAATGCCTGCACAAGAAGTAGTTGTGCCACAACCGCCGGTAACCGAGGGCGAAGAGAATGTTCCCTCATCACAGCCAATCGTGGGCATCATTTATCCTCCTCCAGAGGTTAGGAGTATCCTTTATCAATAATGAATTTCATTTCTTCGAACTGTGAAGAAAAAGTAACGTATCTTTATTATAAAATTGGATAAGATACAACACGGGAAATACTATATATCGTTATTTTTATCTATGATAATCTTAAAATATCACTCAACCTTATGGGTTAGCTCATATGGAGAATTCCTAATATTATAAAGTTTAAAGTCTAAAGTTTGTTTAATTCATATTTCTGTATAATTCTGAATAAATATGTTTTCTCATTTATACAATTAATCACTTAGTTTAAGTATTTTGTGTTTGGAAAGAAGAAACTATGATTTGTGCACCATAATCTCTCTGCACCGTATAGCTCATTGGACAAGAAAAAAGTAATTTTGGATGTAGACAAAACAATTAAAAATAGAGATTGGGAAAAATATAGTTAAGATAATTTATCAATTTATAAGCAAGATAGACAAATATAACAAAATTAGAGGTAAAGGAGATTTTACTTTACAGAAGATTAGAAGAAGAGAAATCATAAACTGCATAACCACAAATATCTTTGGAGAAGGCTAAAGGCTTGATGGCACTCTCACCAAAATTAAAAGGAAAAAAAGTATAGCTTGTTAGGTGCATGAAATACACATTCTTTTTCCTTATATAGACATTCAGATATTGTTGATAAAACTGCTAGTTTTGTTGCTAGAAATGGGCCAGAGTTTGAGTCTAGGATTAGACAGAATGAGTTGGGCAATCCTAAGTTTAATTTCTTAAACTTTGGTGATCCTTACCATGCCTATTATGAGCATAAGGTGAAGGAATCCAAGGAAGGTAAAGGTCAGGAGCCTATAATAGGATCAGGTCCTGGAAAAACTGTTAATCTTAGTGCACATCAAAAGCAACAAGAGATCTTGAAGCAAGTTGAACAGCCATTTATACCCAAAGACCCACCTGCTGAGTTTGAATTTATAGCAGATCCTCCTTCAATCTCAGCCTTAGATTTGTATGTGATTTATGTATAAAATTGTAATTTTTGTGTAAAATTAATATTTTTACATCAGCAAATTGCATTAAATTTCATTTCTTTTTCAGAGACATTGTAAAATTAACTGCTCAATTTGTAGCACGTAATGGAAGACAATTTCTAACCAATCTGATGAATCGTGAACAAAGGAATTTCCAATTTGATTTTTTACGTCCACAACATTCCTTATTTCAGTACTTCACTAAGTTATTGGAGCAATATACTAAGGTGTGCAAATAATTAACTCTTCTCTTTTAGATAAACAGATAATATAAAATTATGTGCCAATTCTGTAAATTGGCTTCATTGATCAATTATCTTGATTGATTAAAAATCTATTTGTAAGTTAAAAATTTTTAATATTTTTTAGGTATTGATTCCACCTAAAGATTTGTTGCCACGTCTACGAGATGAGTCGTTCAATATGGATAAGATCTTGGAACAAGTGAAATATCGTGCTGAATATTTGAAATATCAAGAAGCACAAAGGCGTAAGGAGGAAGAGGAATTAGAAAGGGAGAGGGTTGCTTATGCGCAAATTGATTGGCATGATTTCGTCGTTGTCGAAACCGTAGATTACCAACAGTTCGAAGTCGGTAATTTTCCAGCTCCAACAACACCGGATGAAGTCGGCGCGCGTGTTCTTATGCAGGTCTGATATGATTTTGTGTCGTAAAAAATTTCATTTCGTTCATTAATTTGTCATTGATTAATATGTTGAATGACATTATATTATTAACATTTATATTCATTTATAATTAATAGGAACGTATTGAAGACGGCGAAGACGTGGAGATGCAAATCGATAGTGAAGGAGAAGATGATATGCAGATGCGTACAGAAGGCGAAAAAGATCGTGCAAAAGATAACAATCAAGTAAAAATAGTTTTCTTAATTTTTTCTTAATTTATTACATATCATAAAGTAACGTGATTTAATTATTATCAATGAATATTTTAGGTGCAAGATATGGAGGAAGATTCCAGCGACGAAGACGACGTGTCACCACCAGGAGGTGATATCCACAAATCTAAAGAATCTAAGCCGCGCGATACTAACATGCAGCCACCTCCTTTGCCACCTACTCCAGGAAACGTAGTGGTCAAGAAGGGATACGATCCGAAACAACACGGTACGTGCATCTACAATCAATTATCAGTGTCGTTTACTTTTCAAGATACATCATCTTATACTGAATATTTCTACAGCGGTTAAAACAACTCGTCCTGCTGCTCCGGATGAATATCTGATCTCGCCGATTACCGGTGAACGTATACCCGCTAGCAAAGTGCAGGAACACATGCGCATTGGATTGCTGGATCCACGCTGGGTCGAACAGCGAGACAAGCATCTGGACAAATTAGCACAAGAAACCGTGTTCGCGCCCGGCACAGCAATCGAAGCTAGTCTCAAGCAACTCGCTGAGAGACGTACTGATATATTCGGTGTTGGTGACGAAGAAACTGCTATTGGTAAGAAAATCGGTGAGGAGGATAAGAAGAAGGATGATAAAGTCACATGGGACGGACATACCTCGAGTGTGGAAGCTGCAACTAGAGCTGCGCGCGCCAATATCACCCTGGAGGAGCAGATTCATCAGATACACAAAGTTAAGGGTCTGCTACCGGACGAGGAAAAGGAGAAAATCGGTCCGAAACCTGTGAACCGTGCAACCGAGCTTTCTCACATGGCAGCTGCCGCTTCAAAACCGCAAGCCACGTTGAAAGCACCACCGAAACCTCCAGCACCGAAGCCCATACCGGTTCCTGCTCAACCACCTCCACCACCGACAATGAGCATGCCGACTATGGGTATACCGCAGCCGATGATGCCGCAACCGCCGATGATGATGATGGCACCCATGCCACCTATGGCACCTAGACCACCACCTTTGATGAGTACGTATATCTTAAGAAATGAGCATGTTTTTACATGAAACTAACTGACATGATATGTTGCAGCTCCAGCAATGTCTCCGTTCATGCCAACACCACCGCCGATACAACCGCCAATGGGACCACCTGTAAGTAATTATTGTAAGATATAGAGTAGAGATTTATGAGATTCATTTTCTGATTGTTTTTCTCTCTCGAAGCTTGGAATGAAACATCCTGCTAAACCAATGGAAGAAGAGCCACAAGCTAAAAAACTGAGAACCGAGGATTCATTGATTCCAGAACAACAATTCCTTGCCAGGAATAAGGTAAAGAATCAATTTTCATCGATGTACTTTTCAAAGAGTGCGAAATGTAATCAAGTCTTTTGAAACATTTTCTTTTTGCAGGGTCCCATACAAATTAATATTGCGGTGCCTATGATGACAGAGAAGGCTGAATGGAAACTGAACGGACAAACGCTGAATATTACCTTGCAATTGAGCGATACCGTGTCAACCATGAAGGCACTGATTCATGAGCAAACTGGCATGCCTCCTGGCAAACAAAAACTGCAGTATGAGGTAATTATCTAATTTTTATTATATAATTTATATAATAATAATTTTTTAAAAACCTTTTAGTAATAAATATTTTTTACATAATCACATTTACAATAAGTTTCGAATTTTGATGTATGTTCTTTTTCAGGGAATGTTCTTCAAAGACAGTAATACTCTCGCATATTATAATTTGAGTTCGGGTAATATTATCAACTTACTACCAAAAGAAAGAGGTGGTAGAAAGAAGTAAGGTAAACAACTATATAAAATAGTACTATACAGTTAAATATATAACATATATATTATAAAAGTTGCATCACTATGATGAGATAATATAAGGGAGGTAAGTTTTTCTGGCACAATAATTATATAATTATAATCACATCATCTTTTAAAGAGAATAAAAAATATATAATTAAAATATATATAGCATTTATTAAAATGTCGCGTATAAACATGTAGGATAATATACAACAGAGTATTTAGCATAAATTAATAAATATTATATTAAATATAATTTTGTTCATATAATTTAACCTCGATTTTTTTCTCGTATTGCATGTATTTTAATCCTGTGATGCTTATACAATAATAGAATGCATCATCTAAAATGTGTAGGCATCATTGACTTAAAAATTTAAAAACTAAATTGCCGTACAAATCATTTCAGATGTTTCACTTACGATCATATTTATCACATATTGGAATAGTCAAATAAAAATATAAGTAAGGCTCTGAGATCACAATAACAAAAAAAATTTGGCTAATAAGAACCAACCGCAATTAATATGGTTCGAAGAATTTCTTATGTTATTCCAATGATTATTTCTTACACCAATGATTATTTCTAATGTTAACTTTGCGACTAGCTTTTATTAGTCCAATTTTTCTTATTATTGGAATAATCAATTATTAAAGCTTTAGGAAAATAAATGCATGATATATTATTACAATATCAATTAATGCACCGAGATGAAAATATATACATTCGTATAAAATACACGAGAGATTCTCATATAAAATGCTTTTACGAATAAAAGAGAGATATATATGCTGGTAAAGTACATTATAAATATTAGATTTGGGTTTGAGCCGCGTGGATTTTTCTTTGTTTGATTCTGACGAATATTTTCGCGAACATTTCAGTCCGCTTCATAAAGGAGCAACGCCATTAGCCGATTTCATCGGTCGTTCCTCCTTTATGAAGCAGACTGAAATGTTCGCGAAACGTCGGAATTAAACGAAGAAAAATCCACGCGGCTCAAACCTAGAAACCAAATCTAATATACATTATAATTTCAATATTCTAAATAATTTAAAAACATACGTAGAAAAATTCATCATGTACTTAGAACGGGTCTATCGTGTTATATTCTTTTTAGATTCATTACGTAAAAGGCCTTTTTCTTTAGAATGTGTGTATACACACACACACATATATGTGTGTGTATATGTGTATATTCTATTATTATTTACAAAATTTATATATGCTTTTGTTCACTTCTCTTCTTCAGTATTTGATCCATGATCTTGCGATAACGTATCGTCATAGGTTTATAGATCTAAAAGCATCAATTGAGAAATTATTAACTATGATAATAAAAGATCACGAGAAATTTTGCTATTTTTGCTTAATCTGGTTTGCGAATTGGTGCTTATCTTTTATGGATTTGTTTCCAATGTTTCGTGGACGTTTCTAGTTCATTTCTTTAGGAAACTTTCAGTCAGAAAGAAAAAATACTATCGTCAAGTCTCAGGTCGTTTTTCCATTGAAGAAGTTGAAATCCATCTGAAGAAATGAACTACAATGTTCACGAAACATCGGAAACAGATCTATGAAAATCATAGCAACCGAAAGATGAAACATTTCACTATTTTTATCTAATTGTAAAAATTTACTTGGAGTTGAAAATATTCACACTAGTTAGAGTGAAACATTCACTTTTATAAAAAATAAAATAAATGTACTCCATTCAGAATGGCAGTATTTTTATTGTCACTTGGAGTGAATATCGACTTCTTTGAAATGAAACTTCACCTCAAAAAATTTAGAGAATAAAATACTACTATCCCAGACAACATATTGTCTAAAATCGGGACATAAGTCTTAAAGATAATCTTTAAGACGCCTTGAAGACATTTATACGTAAATCGTCTGAAAGACAATCTTAAAAATGATCTTTAAGACGTCTTATGTCCCGATTTTAGACATTATGTTGTCTGGGTATTATTTTTTTTTCTTTTTTGACTTACGGATTCAGCATCGTCGTAAGGCTGACACACGAAAGTCAATTCTGGCAAGCAACATACAATCTCATCAAACTTGCACTTATCCCGTAACAAGCCATATTTTGCTCGGTATGCTGCACCCATCATGGCTGAGTTGGTTGTTTCCTATCGTGAAATCATATCTTATCATGTCTTTGATAAGAATAAAGTAATTCCGAAATAACCTTATATTAACATAAAATGAATATAATAAAATTACATAGTTAGGAAAGAGAATATATAGGATATTAATTTTACAGCTATTGAACAAAAGAGAAGTTTTCAAGATATTTTACAAATTTTCTCAATTGGTCGCAAATCTTGTTTAATGGCGATATAACCTTTTATTTCACCGTATTTTACAAACATATTTTGAACGCATATTTTCTCGCTTGTAACGTCACAATCAAAATGATTGTGGCAAGAAACTAAAAACGTTAAGTAGGGACGTCACAGTAGTGAATAAAAAATCAATTCAAAATAAGAGAAAAAGAACTTATGAGAGCAAATACACAGAAGGAGTAATAAGACTAACTAAAGATGTAATAAGACTAACTAAAACTAGTAAAATTAGTATTTGTCCTCTAGATATAATGAGGGAATATTTATTGTGTCTAAATTAGAATAACCATCAAAGTAAATAATCTGTGCAGCTCATATAAAACCTTTCTGGTATAACAACGCAACCCGAAGTATCTACAAACACTATTCGTCGATGTGCTTTGTCCAACACAACGAGTAAAAAACAGTTATAGGTAGTCATTCAAGACCTTCTGTACCTTCATCAGCTTGTAATTCTTGTTTGACCCCTGCTACGCCTTAGGTATATATTACCGTTATTTTTTATTCTTATTTTCTATTAGTGTGACATCCCATTTAAATATGAAATAATTGGCGAATGATAGTATAGCTATTATCGTTGCACTTACCGAGATGTAGACTGGTGAATTGAACACGTCAGCGAGAACTTGCAATATAGCTTTATTAGTAGATGTGCCTCCCGTTACAACTATCCGCGTGTTAGGTCCTACGCGAAGAAAAAGAAAAAAAAAACTCAAATTCACGACCATACAATAATGCAAGGATGATTGGCGACGTCAACAGACGTCAAACAAATTATTTCCTTTAATAAGTAAATAGTTTAAAAACTAGTTATTTAAAAAAAATAGCTTTCTCAACTCTGTTCAAAACTAAATAACTAAAAAACTAAATAACAAATCAATGATTTATTGTTTTATTGATTATTCAAAAGAATAATAGTAATTATTAATTATTGTAATAGCTTTACGTTAATTTCCAGAAACAGATACGTGCGGTTATAAAATATCATGCGAAATAAATTACTCACCGATGACAAATCCGAAGTCCTCGGCGTGCGCTCTCTTCGCGACGAATTGACCTTCGATCAGAGCTCTTACTTCTACTTCCTTCGAACTATATCGCGAGATTTCATCGTTGGCTTTATTGTACCTATAATTCCCGATCACGAAGGGCAATATTTCCTGCGTATCAAAGTACAGAGCAAAGTTTCCGAAGTTTCCTCGCGGAGTGCTGTCCAATAATTCGTTGAATATCCGCCAACAGCCCTGCGCGGCTTCGTTCTGTATTCTCTCGCGTGTTAAGGAACCATTCTTGAAGCTGCGTAATAATCATAAATCGTTATGGTGTCTGTACTATTATCGCGATCGTGACTGTACATATATATCACTTACCAAAGCAACGCCATGTAAGCCTGATCGTCTATAGGATTGCAGAATATGTGACCGTCCGTTGTTATTTTGGGTTCGTTCAGCCACAGGAATAAAGTATCGCTCGTGCCCAAACTGCAAGCGATGTCACCTTGTTTCAGTCTCATACCTACATATCATTTTTCATCGTGACTAATTGTTCTTGTAAGAAGTTTCTAATATTAACGAAACTATCATCGGGTATACGCGTAACATTACATACCCGCCAAGGAACTTGGATTGTCGCCGGTAAACGCAATTACCCGACATTCCTCATTGAAACCAAATCTCTCTACGAAATAAGGTGATATCGGGCCAATATCGTTGTGCGATGAGACAGGCTTGCCCAATTTCTCTCTCAGTCCCAATGCACAAGTCTGTCGAACACGTAATATGTTAAACATAGTGAATTCACTAAATACATACTCGCGAGCGTATGCATTTAACCGGCAGAATAGCCTTAACACTCAGTGTAATTAGATTATTACTGATATTTAATAACCGCACGTATCTGTTTCTGGAAATTAACGTAAAGCTATTACAATGACTAATAATTACTATTATTCCTTTGAATAATCAATAAAACAATAAATCATTGATTTGTTATTTAGTTTTTTAGTTATTTAGTTATTTAGTTTTGAACAGAGTTGAGAAAGCTATTTTTTTAAAATAACCAGTTTTTAAAATAACTATTTACTTATTAAAGGAAATAATTTGTTACTTAAATATTTGATACTGATTTTGAAAAATAACACTGTTATTTTACCGTTCTTATTCTTTAAGAAGTAATGAGTCATATAATTTCCATTACTTTTTTATCTTAAGTATTAAAAATTTGCTACCATCTATTCTACATCTATTTTACATGCGCAAAATAACAGTTATATTTATTACCAAAAAATATAATTACTTTATTGATATCATCAGACAAAAAAGAAATAACATCGTTTTACCAAGCCACTACAAAAAATAACTTGTAAAAGTAACGACATTACAAGTAACGCGTTATATTCCAACCCTGTAAATCAATAATACGTACGACTAAAAGATTCCAATAACATTCCAATTACTTTACAAATCAAGCTATTTTATCTCATTACTCATAATTTTACCTCCAATAACGTATCATCCCAGTCTTTGGTGTGAATATTCAATAGATTCATGCCCGATCCGTCCGACCAATCTATGGGCGCGTAATCGCCCAGGAATAAAGAGGCAAGGAAGTTGCTCACCAACGAGATTCTCTGCATGTGCAGAAAAATAAAACGCGTGAGCGATAATGACATCGATTCGCGTACGTTTCGGAAGTGGCACAAAGCGAGTGCATGATGCACATAGCTTTGATCATCGAGATATAATTAGAGACATTAAATCATACGGTTACGATTACGTCGGAAGAGAATTTTTACACTGCGGACTATTGTTCGGTTAATCGAAAGGAACGCGAGTGTAACCGCATGTTTGTTTTTGACACACGTGTTTGTTTGCGCGTCACGAGGAGCTACGCGATGAATTCGTGCCGCGAATTCTCGACTGCTGATTGTTACGACAAACTCTCTATAGTTAATTCACGCTATAGTTAAACACACGCGTACACACTCACACTTCGCAAAAACAAACAACGTATTCAGAAAAGCGACATACAATGGTAGAGCAGTAATAGTAGAAAAAAGTTCAATTAGTATAACTATAATTCATTAACACGAGTACCTCGCACGATTGTCGTTCTCATTTCTTTTCTTTTCTTTTTTTCGAAAGACGCCACGAGTTTTTAGTAGATATACCTCAGTGTTGCAGTAGGTTCCCGGCTTAGTGCGTGCTATTTTCGCTATCTGCGGCCCCGAGAACCTTTCGTACGCCCGTGAGCCCGTTATTTCCGCTAATTTCTGAAATCATCATCAATTTGTATTTTAATAAGTATCGTCGACAGATTTTTACGTATTGTATGCAACAACTGCGCGTTTAAAACGGCTACTTCAAATATTTGGTTAGTTGAGCAGCCTAAAACATTGTCATAAGTCAAATCCATAGCGACCAACCGTTGGCCAACTAATACGTGCTACTCGCTTAATTCGTTTTTCTTCTGTTTTGTTACAATCGTCGGTCATTCGCGATACTTTACGTTACGAGAAATAACTTGTCACGAATGCTGATGCCGGACCAATTAACGTGTTTGACTTTATAGAAACTTTAACGTATTTATTTAGATTTGTATATCTTGTTTTACCGCAAGCAGGTATGAACTACCCTCACTCCATGTAGAAAAGTCAAAAATGCTTACGTGAGGACCGCCCACGATCTCTTCCAAAACGCTACATTCCTTGGATGTACTGGAGTCCAACCACACGGGTGAATAGGTCACGGAAAATGACGTGGCGAATTGTTCGTGTAAGAATTTTATGGGGTCCAAACGCTGTAATCGACCCCGACTGCCTTTGCTCCAATAAACTGTGCCGTGTTGCTAATTGATCATTAAGATACACAATGATATTACGCGTTACTCCTTTGAAAATCCTTACAAATAATCGATCTAATAATACCGTCACCGCAATACAATTGACGAAACATGTATCTGTTTATGTAATTTTTCTTTTTCCATCTCTTAAGCATAGTATGGATTTAACGATGTTTTTTGTAAAATCTTTATCCATAATAGTATAGGCACTAATATCCTCCAATATGTGACGCATTTTAGCAAGATAAGCAGACCTGAGCATTATCACAATAATGTTACCCTTTCATCCGGGTTAGTGAATACAATATCAGGATTATCGTTGACAAAGGTTTTATGCCTATTTCTACCAATATTGCTTAAATTCTAATCTAAGTTTAAATCTTTTTCTTGATAGAGTTTAAACTCAGATTAAGATTTTATCAACTTTGATAGAAACGGATATTATAAATACAAATATCGTTTTATTCGAAAATTAGTAAAAATTTTGGGCATGCGTTTTCTCGCTTCTGACGTCATCAATCAAGAGTTCTTGATTTGATCGAGAAATTTAGAGAACGTATTACCTGTGCGCACCCCGAAATGGCCTTTACTTTGCTAAAATCGACGTCGCATACGCGCAATTTGTCGAGTATTATATCTAAAGCTTTCACCCACATCAAGGGAGGCACCAATACAACATGAGGATCTTCTACGTTTCGTAAGAACCCTCCATAAGTTCTGAAATGTTTGAATATCCATATATATCAAAATTAAAAATATCAAATTAAACTTTTATCCAGGGGTCTCACTTGAACGTACCTAAACTCCGGTAGATCGTTGTCGAATTGTACGCTGGTCTCGTGAAGTACGGCGAGATCATCGTCAACCACCACCGCTTTCAACTAAAATTAGATCAAACGCGAACTCAATGAAAGGAGAAGTACAATCGAAGTACACTCGAAGACACGTTTTACCGCGTTTCTAGACCCAGATGTATTCTCGTCGAATTAAAATTTGGAAAATAAATGTGCGCCGCTGTGTTATCCAACAATCATTCGTTTATTTTCTCGTTTATGTGAATTTACAAATAATCGTGATTGATCGATCTAAACGCACGCATCACCAGGCGGTCTTTCGTAAATGTCTCTCGTAATGTTTAAATAAACGACAATAATGTTGTGGCATAACAGTAGCATAACAATAGGAACCTACACTAATGCGCAGCTATTTATATTATTGCGCTAGCGCAACGTGGTGCTTATATGTTCTCGCACGCGTTTTTTCTCTTTTGCTTCTCTTTTTCTGTCTCTTATACTTTTACAGTAATACGTCAAAGTACCGAGCGATATTAATTATCGAGGCTCAATATTCTTATCGCGTCGCACTTTTGCCGCTTTGCAAGATAGCGCTTCCCTTCGCACGTATCTGCTGGCGGCGCGTGTTATCACGCTATTAGATAATAGTGACCCGGCGAATAGACGTCAGAGCGCCTCGCACAGCCTCGATGTGACTCGCTCACTCATGTTTTCTGCGTAGAACCGTCGAATACCTTGCGAAACGACATATCGTATCGAACATATTTTAAAACGCGCGACACGCGCGCTGAGAAAACTGGTATGTCATCCATACTTCCGGAGTAAGTGAAACTCGCGAGTAAATTTCTATGACTGTCACCCTCATAGCAAAGACAGAATCGAAAAGTAAAATAAGTAATTATATCTTACGAGCATTTTAATATTTGCACTTAACGAGTTATAATTAAGTAAAATGAACATTTCGGTTTACGCGCTAAAAAGGTTATATTTTATGAAAATATGAGGTTTAAAAACAGTTGAGCTATTTTAATTACCCGTCATGTAACAAAGAAACAAAATTACTAGGGTCATTTTTAATGTGCTAGATTAAGTTGTCCGAAAGAAATGTGCCACGTGAGGGTTGATATCACTAGTTTACAAGATTTACTTCTTTTTTTAGTATAGGAAATGGAAACTACTTTTTTAAATATATTTTGGGTCGCTGAGTTTGAATCTGCCGTCAGGAAAATTCCATTAGGTTGAATTTTTTAGATACGACAAATTGGCAGCACTACAGTTTGCCTTTACAATGTCATTATATTGTATTATCGTTTATTTACGAAACTATTATACGGACGTATTTTTTTTTTTTTTTTATATTATCACGTAAAAATGTCAAAAAGAATGTGTAAGACTGATCTGAACTATTTTTGTTATGTTTGTGGACAATATATTATTAAAAACAAGGTTGCATAATCACAGAATCGCTGGAATTCACCTATTTACATTACTTTGGTTTTGCGATCGGTAAACAAGATAAACAATGGACACCACAATTGTTTTGCATAAGACTAATAAACTCTTTTTCCAATTCTAAAATCAAATCAAAATCAAAATTCCTCTAAAATCAAAATGACATTGCAAAACAAGTGTGGTGTACATTAATTCTGTTGATGTTTATGTTCTTTGAATTTTTTTATGTTTATGTTTACATTGTTCAACCAAACTATGATCTCTTTTCGGGTAAATGTTAGGAAAACTACGACGTTCTTTACGAAACTCCGTATGTTCTCACAGAGCCAATTAGTATTAAGATCACACGATAAGCTCGTTCCTTTTTTCCCAGTAATTTCCCCGATTTCCTTGTGAGGAAATTAGATCTCTATCGCGTGCTTTGGTTCGATGTAATTACGAATACCCAGCACAGCCACGAGCCTAATTGGAAATTCTCCCGCGACTCTTGATCACGAAAAATCCTTTATTCCGGAAGAGGAATAATCGATACAAAATTCTCGTTCTTGACACTTGTTTGTAACGTCGTGCAAAAATATACTTTAAGAAGGTGATTCTCACAACATCAAAGTTTCAATCTACCGAAGCTTCATTTTATTCAACCGATTTCAACATGTTATGTCAATACACCGTGGCGTCGGGCAACCCGATCAATCGGGTTTCTACCGATATCTCCAGACTGAAATTTCGAATGCAACAATAATTATTCGCGCTCTCATCGTTATTCATCATCAAATAATCGAGAAATTAATAAAAAAATAATAGGACAATTTTAAGGATGTCCCAAAGATGAAAATATCCTATTCGATTTCTCTTGGATGTCGCATAGTCTGGAATTATTTAGTCGGCCAATCGCTCGTGTTGTTGACCTCTAGCAGTCTTACGCTCGATGGTAACCGCGGGACTTTTACCGTTGCGATCTGATATCGAATGTTGTCAACCGTGTTGTTTACATTTTTCTCTCTTTCCGCCAACGAAAATAGCTTATATATTTTAAAAAGTAATCTCTGATCTCTGACCTCGAGCGAGTGCTGCCACGTCGTCCGCTCTAGAATTTATTCTGACCAGCGCGATGTCAACCCACGTTGACTGTCACCGGACATAAGACGACGAAGAATACACAACATATACATATACAAACGCGTATATGCCGCTCAATGTAATTCGAATTTTCGAACGCGTTTTGATTTCTCGTCGGATTATACCTTATCGCGACTCCAAGAGGAATCTTATCTGTCATCGCAACACTTTACCTGCTGTGTACTCAGGTCCAAGCCCAAATAAGTCGCTATCGACGGCTCTGCGTCCATACTCTCTTGATCCTCGTTTAGCGTGAAGCGTACAGCTATCTGCGTAGAATCCTTGTAGGATGTCCGCAAAATCGTCGGTAGGAAGACGCACAGATAGTCAACACTTGCTCGGAGCAACGTATCCGCGCGCCGCTTTGCTACAGGAGAAACTAAATATGAGCAGAGAAAAATCTGAGAGCGGCCATTCTGTAATTATTTCAGGAAACTTCGATATTTCGATACGCCCTCTGACAAAATGCGCCTAAACTACGTCCGTCAGGTGTATTTTTTGACGGTAACGGTAAGATGTGCTTGGTTCGTGTCCGTTCTACTTCCATACGATGATAATAAGTTAGAAAAAGACAGACAATCAATGTCGTCTGTCCTTGTCTCACCACTGATAAACGAACCACGCGGTAAGCACAAGACGAACTAGCGATCTTATCGCAAAGTTAGCATCACTCTCATTCACTACATCGCGTAGTTTGCTCATCAATGATGAAACAAGGATGGAGTTATTAGTCGTCTATCATCATACGGAAGTAGAATAGACACGAACCAGGCGCATTTCATCGTTATCGTAATGGATGTAGTTTAGGCGCATTTTATCAGAGGGCGTATCGAAATATGGTCCCTTGAAATTCTTACGAAATGATCATTCTCAGGTTTCTGATACGAGTGAATATATACCAGCCTGTGCGTAGACCACATACAATCAAGGATTAAAAGGTTGTCTGTAATTTTTGAGTTTGTGAACTCATTCTTCTTGTCTGACGAGAGCATCCTCTCATTGAAAAACGAATTCTTCCACTAGACAAAACGGGAGTTCACAAACTCACCCAAAACATTACGAACAACCTTTCAACCTCCGGCTATATATCTTCAGCACGACCAGACGTCGTAGTCGCGGTCGTTACGTTACGCTTTTGCGCGTACGCAATGTAACCTGTCAGGAGTAATCTGATCGTGATTTCTTACAAGAGTGAAGCTGGCCTGTCATTACATTTCAGACAGCACAATGTCCAAAATCGAGATATAAGATATCTTAAGAGCCATCCACAATGGAATTGGTAATAAGCAGTAAGACGTAAGTAGTAAGCAAATCGACTAATTATAGTTAATTATAAGAATAATCGACTATGGTTGATTAATTTGCTTATTGCTTACGTTTTACTGCCTATTATCAATTTATTATCAATTCTATCGTAAATAGCCCTTTAAAGATGTCTTATGTCCCAATGTCTTAAAGACGACTTAAAAATGCTTTATATCTCAGTTACGGACATTAGTGCTGTCTGGAAAATAACGTGCTCTCGCCGGATCTATCTGAAAATTGTTAGCGTGGCGACGGCGAGACGCGACTATAATGGGCGATACCGTGTTCTGGATACGTTGCTTCATGTATCCTTGGGAACTACATCAGCTTGAGATAAAACGCGCACGTCACAGTGACAGTCAGGCGCAGATCAGGTAAAAGAAGAGAACTCACACGAGAGCTGCTTTACCGACGTTGCGTATCACCTGCGCTCTGCACCTGTCACGTCGCTGCAGCGTGTTATCCGAGGAGCTCAGCAAGAAAATCTTAGTAGATAACACAGGTAGTCGTGGAAATGAATGAAAAGTCCGAGCGAGTGTACTCTTTATTAATCTGGAGTCGGAGGATTCTTTACCTCAAGAAAATCCTTCTCCTGAGAAAATAATCAAGATACCAATAGCCTTTGAGTTGTGCGAACAATTGAAAATAAAATTACTTCGCAGCTTCAGCAGAATAATAAATGATAAAGTATTATTCTTAAGGTAATACTTCAAAGAAGGACTCAAGTTTCATGGCTTTTATTAACTCAAAACTCTGTCAGAATTTTACTCGACAGTGAAGACTATGATTTTAATTTTAAACTTTCATCTGTCAATAAAAGTGCCTCTAAATGTGCTTATAATCCAGTTAGAAGATTTATAAGTCACGTTGCGTACGCGCAAAATAACGCAACGTAACGACCGCGACTAGGACGATGACGTCTGGTCGCACTGAAGATGTACAACCGGAGATTAAAAGGTTGTCCGTAATTTTTGGGGTGAGTTTATGAACCCCTATCTTGTCTAATGGGAAAATTCGTTTTTCAATGAGAGAATGCTCTCGTTAGACAAGAAGAATGAGTTCACAAACTCGTTCCAAAAACTACAGACAACCTTTTAATCCCTGACTGTATGTGGTCTACGCACAGGCTGGTACGCATTCACTCGTATCAGAAAGAAACCTGAAAGTGGTCATTTTGTAAGAATTTCGAAATACTTTTATCGATGAAAAAGAATTTTCAGGATATATGAGTGCTTAATGACACAAGTCGAAACAGTATTATTCCATCTTCGTTCTACATTCAATAAATAATAAAGATAATGATGATACTTGTGTTAACTGATGTTACTAAATGAAAAGCACTATATGAAGTTATAACAAACAAAAAGCAATCGCGGCAAACCTCTTTGCCTTAGCTATAGATTATATATCGCGTTAATTTTTCCTTGTCTCTTTCTTTTTTTATTTAAGTAGGGTGCAGGGCGTCTCGGCACTTTGCCTGAGGCATAAATACTCCAAAGATAAAGGGCCTGACGGGAATCCAAGCGCCGGAATTGCTGGCGGTGGTCTTGGTAGCGCGTTGTAAACGACAAGGGCCGGAGAGAGGCAGATTGTTAGCCGGTACACGCACTGTGCGCGAGTTTGTTTGCGTAGTTGAGGACCGTATGTGCTGGCGCACGCAGGGCGGAGAATGTCTACGCCGGGGGTGCCATGCCATGGGCGCCAAAAGTGGCATTCTTTGAAAGAGGCAATCGGGAGTCTCCGCTGAAAACTTCCCATCGAAGTAACAAGATCGACGTATCACATAGGAATGGACGTGATGCAATCGGTCACTTCATTGGAGAAAAAAATTTGTTTTTCGACTAGATCATAATCGAATAATTTGTGATCGCATAAAAATCCAATGAATTTTTAATATTGAAAAATCACTCAAATTTAACAGATTTTTCAGCTTCTCCAAATAATGCCTAATTAATGTTGCTAGTATCGATTATCATTCCGCATTTTATATTTTAACCTTCATCAAAAGACTTGACAGAGGTATTCTGTTAACGTATGATTATTTTTTTTTTTTATTAACTAGATATATCGCGTAAATTTTCAGAGAAACGAAAAACGCATACGTCCCTTTTCAAAGGCGCCTATGGATCTAGCCCACGCCTGTTTGTCGGTCCCGTTGCCCTATAATCGTGCAGCATACGGATAATGGTTTGGGTTAAGGAACGCCACGCCACGTCGGACCGGCACCAGAGAAGACGTTGAGCGAGTGAGAGATCAGAAAGAAGGAACACGTACGCGCCGCCGACAGCGGCGCCGGGACCATGGCTCCCTTTATAAAACATAACCTCGATAGTTTCGAAGGGCTGATTTGCAGGCTATGATGATGGAAGACGATTGGCGGGAAGAGCAATCGGGCGAATCCTTTCGCCGCCACTCGAATCATGTCACAGTTTCCAGCGAGGTCCCATTACCTGACTGGCCCTCAGCCACGAAATGATCCTCGTTCAGTTTCTCTTGCGCGCCGCAGGATCGTGATCTAATTACGCGAACGGCTTGCGGCTGCGTTGGTTTGATGGCTTGTTTGTTAAGACGATCCAGCTTGGTATTTCGTCGCGGAATTCGGTCTCAGTGTATTACAGTCGGCAATGTAGAACGTAAAGAAAATTAACCCTAATCTGACAGACTGATGTTACTTTTCATTCCAATTGATTTTTAACTTTGAATTACTCGCAAACTAGTAAAATGAAAATTTCGGCTCATACGTTAAAAAAGTTATTTATAATTGGTAAAAATATGAAATTTAAACACATTTTAATTACTTGTCATATAACAAAAAGCAATGTTATTTTGGGATCACTTTTTACCTCAGTGTGCCAGATTCATATGCTAAAAATACGCGTAAAATGAAGGTGATTTCTCGTTATATATATTTCGGTCTTTTATATTAAATATAATACAAGGTGTCCGGTAACTTACGGAGAAGCCACGGTGTACAGGTAGATTAGGTTCAACTAAACAAAAAATTTCTCTATCATTTTGTGAACAACTACGTAAAATTCTAAGTTCTACGTCTTCTACTATTTTCCAAATGACCACGTAGATGTTTACTTATTAATTAAAAAAAATTTGTGTATTAACGCGCACAACTGTACACCAAACTTCTTCAAGCTAAACATGTATATCATTTGGAAAATGGTAGAGAACTTTTTTTGTTCAGTTTGACCTAATATACAAGCGTACAGCGACAAACGTCGCCATCACAGTTCATCTATCGTATGGCGTGCAACAATTTGCGAATCTTCTTTGTGATTAATAATTAAAAATGTTATTAACTTAAAAGAAAAATCAATCTCTTTATCATATCTTATCTTTGGTGAAAACGTTACATCGTCAATTACAGTTATCAAGAATTTAAAAAAACGAAACGCTTCACGTAAATCTGAATAAAACACAGACCGCGAATCTTTCTCGAATCGTTCTTCAAAAGTAAACCGCTCGAAACATGTTGATTCGATTCAGGTCGACTCGAATCTCACAAATGTTATTTGTCGGATGGCGGTTACGTCGGCAGGGCGCGCGTATGACGCATCGGCGGTAATTTCAACGCTCGCTAAACTGACATCGTGGCGGCGACGACGGCGACGTGCTCGCGGTGCGTAAGCGGCGTCCGTGACGCGGCGGCATTTAAGCGAGCAATTTTTCGAAACGGCGTTTCATTACCCTAAACGCATCCACCGTCGTGGAATAGATCGGTGGAGCAGCAGCGGGCAGGGTGCCGGAAACCGAGGGTTGGGGTCGCGCACGAGCGGATGGCGGATGGCGACGGCGACAGCCGGCTGGCAGGCAGAGCCACGTCGTCGCCGTCGAACGAACGTACGAACGACGACGATGAAACGACGACTGGCTCTCCCCCGTGCGGACAGACGAAATCGTGCGAGAGAGAGAAGGACAGAGAGAGACAGCCAGGCGCCGATTCCAGCGACCGGCCGGCGCTAACCTCGACGCCAAGCGTGGAGCGGCGTCGCCGACGTCGCCGCCGCCATCGGCTGCGAGCAACGACGACGAAGACGACGGCGACGGTAACGACGACGACGGTGATGTCGACGACGACGAAGAC